CTCGACTATCCTCATCATAAATTCTGCTCTTGTCCACCAGTTCTGCAAACCGACGAATCTGCTGGTACCCAATTTCTTGCTTAATCTCTAGTCTCAATCCATTCTCAAACTTGAGACACTTTGACATCTCTACGTTAACACGATCGCAATGCGGACAAAACTTTACTAAAGACTCAAACTTTGCCGCATACTCAGCCACGGTCATATTCCCTTGTTTCAGCTCAAGGAATTCCACCTCTTTCTTGCCCCGAACATCTTCAGGAAAATACTTCCTCAAAAATTCTTCCTTAAATACAACCAAAGTTATTGCAATGCTAGCACCTCCCAATCTCTGACGAGTGTTATCCCATCAGTCCTCAGCTTCCTCTGCTAGCATATGCGTACCAAACTGCACCTGTTGAACATCAATGCATGCCATAACTCGGAAAATCTTCTTAATCACCTTTAGCCACTTCTGTGTACCATCAGGATCATGAGTGCCTATAAAAGTCGGCGGATTGTTCCTCTGAAACTTTCCCAAAGCACGAAACTCATCTGGAGGTCCACCATTCTGGGTCATCACTTGGGCAAGTGATTCCAGCGCATCAGCAATATCATGATCATTTCTTCCAGTCATCTGCAACCACCAACGGGTTTAGAAAAAAATAATTCATCCAATAGTGTCCTCACACTATTGACTGACAGGGGACTAACAACGTAAAACTTGGCCGGACGGACCGACCTGCTCTGATACCACTAATTTAACACCCTTTTCTACCCCACAAAATAAAAGGAAAAATATTCACATTTATCAGAGTAAAATATTAAATTCAATAAAAATCACCTCAAAGGGTGTACATTTCTCAATAAATCAAATATAAGTCAAAGCTCCAAAAACAACGGGTTTTCTCAAAAGATATCCAAAAATTGCAGCGGAACTCAAAAGGTGTAATCCAAAGTTTTCCTTATACGGGAACATAAGCAAAATAACCAAATCAAATAAAGTAAGGTTTGAATCAAATACCCCAATCCGATGTTACACTATCAGAGCATGATTCTCTAAGTCAACCACCATGGCCAACGACCCAAAAACTTCAAAAGCCCTCGACGACATCCACGACTAAACCTGGTCATCTGCACGTTACCCACGTGGAGGCAACATTTAAATAGGCAGGGTGAGTAAAACGATTCATGATAATCAATGTAAGAAATCAACATATAAAATGGCGTCATTTTCATGTTCAACATCATCATATCCATCAAGGAACATCAAAGGCCACAACATCATAATTTACTCAAGATCATCTCATATGCAAATGCAACAAGACTCAATACATGTGGTACCAATCATCACAGCTCAATGGACACTGGGCCATCAATCCTCCATAGATCCCCATCAATAGGATCAATTCTACTCGAGAACCGGAGCACATAAAAATACCTCACATCCGCACACTGAGATTGAAGCTAAAGAAATCAAGGTCCTGAACCGAAGTCTGTATGCACATGAATGCATGATGCACACGTCAATAATCATCCTCATAATAACATCACAGGTGCACCATCATTCATCATAATCATCATCATCAAAAATCATGTCATCATAGAATCATCAAAACTCATGGAAATATCATCATAGTTCGTCAATCATTACATCATAGGAATCATCATATAATCATGTACAAATCACATAGAATTCACAGTCATACTCATATTCATTCGTCAAAGACATCACAACATCACAACATCAAGGCATCGCTGCACAAAATCAGAATTTGCGAAACTCTGCTATGTTCGCTAGCAAGTTCGTTGTGCGAGTCTGGGGAGAGTTTCTTCATTGTGCGAAGGATTCTTCGCAGTGAGAGTCTGGGACGAGCTTCGTTCGCTGTGGGAACATGCGATGACAACAAAACACTGTTATGCACTAGAACCTAAAATCAACCCAAAAGTCCCACGATTCACTTCCCCAATAACCCAAAAACATCCCTAAATCATCCCTAAGGTCTTACGGCAATAAAGACACAAAATCTACGACTTATTAGGCCAATCCCGTATCATATTCACGCTCTAATTCTCATAAATCCTTACAACTACACCACAATCATTAGAATTCCTCATTATCCAATTTTCCTACAAGGTTAAACGAATGTCAAATCAGAGCTTTGGCCACGAAGGTCTAATTCCCTTTAACCCAAATAAATTCCTACGGTTAAAATCTCAATAATAGATTTAGGTCACGAAGGCTAATTTCCCTTTATCCCATAATCAACCTCAAACCCTTAGATCGACCTTAAATACATTGAAATTACACATTGAAAACAATGAAGGCAATACTCCCCATACCTTAATTGCCGACTCTAAGCCTTCTCAAATCTTTCAAAAAACCTTTCGAAGCTTTTGCCTCAAACCTCATCCTCAGAGCTCTGGCCTGAATTCTTTTCACGGTCTAACAAAATGAATCCTAATCCCATCACAATTCCCTTTTTGTTAAACGTAACCTTGGGCCTTAAAATTGGGCTTTCCAATATTACCCTCACTAACTCCTCATCAATTTTCCAATTTACCCTTAGTTAACTTATATTTATTTAAATTAATAATAATACCAATATATTCATATTATATACTATTATTTAAATAAATAACTTAAAATCCATAATTCAAACCAACCACTGAAAATCACCAAAAATGTGAATATTCATATTTAAATAAATTAAATAAATATTCCAAGAATTTAGGGTGTTACACTTTCTGTCTTGTGGTCATGTGAAACTTTACATCCATGCCTTGAACACTTTTACGAAAAAGAACACTCGCAAAAATATGTTATGCTTTAAAAGGGACGATGTCCTTGCTAGTAAGACTGATAAGATTAAAATCTAGAATTGCAACACTAAGACCATCCCAAACTCTACCAAAATCAGTTTCCATACCATATACCCCACTGTCTGCCTCTCAATATATGATCTTTTAATATGCAAGATTAGGCCCTAGAATCTACAAAAGCATATGAGACAACCTTTATAACCGAGTACAAACCCAATCCCATAACTCGAATAGGTAAAAAAGCCACCTCCGTTGAAGGTCCCCAAAGAAAGGACCTCTAACAACTACGATGTCTTCGGCCGTCCTTTACAACTATTTACTAAACCAAATAGATACTTCCTCCATATGAATAGGTTGACACATTCTTAGGGTAAAAAACAATTTAGAAATACACAAGAAAGATCGAAGTAGAAGAAGCTCACTTTGAGGTAGAATATACATTAACTCAATATCCCTAGAAGCTATCTTTATGAACAACAGCTTGATAAAGCCTTCATCTCGACTAACAACCCCTATAACCAACTTCAACCCCAACATCAGCCTCCCTATGAAATCACATAATATGTCTCTTCTTAAGGTACAACCTCAATGCCTCACAAAGAAATAGATGGGCATCTCACCCTCACCTCGTGCAATAGGACTGATTGATCTACCATATTAAAAGCATTCAAGAAATCTATCGTGAGCATAACCAAAGAACCATCTTCATATTTTTTTCTTAACACTGTGTTGGTACTATGCAAAATGGCCTCAACACCACTCGATACCCCGAACCCAAACTAGAAGTCATTGAGATAATATCTTTATTGACTCCTTTCGCATCAATCTTGGATACCAACCACCACCAAATAGAACCCACAATAATTGACTGTATCCCATCTTCAAACTTTAATATCGTTGTCAAGGATGTTGAGGCGACAAATTCTTCTAAACTCATAGGACATCTTCCTCCCAGACCTAAGCTAACAACTGAGTTATTGCCTATAAAAGATCTTTCGTTCCAACAGAACATTATTCATACAATGCGTCTAATATATGTTGAACTCATAAATTATCTCTACCGCATGTTATTCCTTTGAAAAATGAATTAATACACTTGAAGATAATATCAACTTCAATCACTATGGGAGCTTCAAGGTGTTTGGCATGAAGGGGGGTGGTTTGCATATGTGCTTAGCCTCTAAAACTTTCATTATATTCCCATTATAAGAGGCACTGCAGATGACCATAACACTTTTACAACTGTTGTGAAGTGTGCATCTACAACTTTACAGAGACATTGCTTAACGTTATAGCTCATCTTTTTTATCTTTCTCCTAAAAAAGAACTCCTCCATAACCCAAGTCATCTTGCTCAGAACTGCCCAAGTAACTAAGCACTCCAAAATGTGATGTTATTGCAAGTGCTTTGATTTTCTAAACCTGCAATTTTGCATATTTTGAGACTTAACCACTTATAAAATACAAAAGAAAGAAACAACAATCGAACTCAAACTCCTATTGATCTCGACTCAATAATCATTTTATAAAAAATATGTTTAAATGTTTGAGAGAAAAAAAGACGACTATTAATAAATATACTTTGTGTGTCATAACGGCTCTCTAATAAATTTATAAATTATATCATTATTTAGAAAAACTCTAGAATATCAAATTAAAAAACATTAAAGATACCTTTGTCTTCCATTATGTGGTCGAGTTATAATTTCTTTCAATAAATCCTATTAAAGATACCTTTGTCTTCCATTATGTGGTCGAGTTATAATTTCTTTCAATAAATCCTATTTCACAATTTCACCTTGTAATATTATTTGTAAAATTTGAATAAAAAAGTTACATAAAAAGAAAAAAAATGTCACCTAAATGACAAAGACAAAAATACTTTTAACTTAAAAAAGAGATAATATTGATTACTCCAATCCATATCGAGAGTTGGCACTTGTGGTACACATAAAGTAACGAGGGAATAAAAAAGACAAAACACGTGTCAATAAACCGAAGCAAGTACCGACATGTGTACCAATGATACTTCATCCCCAGACACGTAGCGGTAGCACACGACAGCACGAAAAAGAAACCAACCAAACATTATAAAAGTCAAGAACACGATCCTAAACTTCAACAAGAACAACTTGTGCAGTGTTAGTGTACTTGTTTATTGCTCAGAATTCTCACTTCGTTACTAGCTTTTGATTGAAGATGGTTGGAATAGGGGTTCCAGTTTGCGTGGAATGTGGTACAAGAAGTAACCCTTGCCGGTGTAAGGTGGTGGGGCCTACACTCGGGTTCGTGGCGTTCGTGGCAGCGGCGGTGGTGGAGTGGCCGGTGGGGGCTCTGGTGTATTGCTTTAAGCATATGAAGGGTCGCAAAATCATGGGTCATCCTGCTACTGTTGTGTATCCTAAAGTCACCAATGCCATCCCCATCTAACTTACTTTTGTTGTATTTATTTTTTGCATCTTGTTTATCTAATTTCTCACTTCCGTGTTATGTAGTTCTTGATTCTGATGTAGTCGCATCGTATGTGTGTGAATAAATATATCCTGTTCAGTTTGTATTTCAACTTATGAATGGATTTTGTTGTCGGTTTTTTCAAATCTTACAAAAGTTTTGGATTACTTTTTTCTTTCTCCCAGAATTCAGATGCTTCCTTCCAAATAACTACTACTGCCACAGCACAAGGGATTGGCTCTTCTTTAATCATTTTAAAAAGATAATTGTTATATATGCTAGCACTCAAATGGGAGAATAACTTTTAGGGTGGTAAATTACACCCACATTTTTGACACACAATATTACACGACCCTCACTATATATTTACAAATTTTGAAGAAGAGGATAAAGGAACATAAAAAGAGAGAATACATTAGAAGCAATATAAAAAAACAAAAGAAAAGAAATTGTAAAATATATTAAATGGAAAGATGTTTTGTACATGTCCCTCTTAGACTTGTCTAGACACATGGTCCATGTAAAGTTCCAATATAGACATTTAGTATAATCCTCCATGATATCAGATTGTGGTTCGTATGATTTGTTTTCATCCGCTCGGATTTTATGCTGACACTCTTACTTAGTAGAAGCTAAAGTTAGCTAATTTGTTTAATAAATTAGTTGTTATATTAGTCGATAATGCTGATAATTAAAAAATAATTTACAAAATAATTTAAAAATATATTTTTAATTAAAAAATTTGTAATTTTATTATTTTATTATATTATTTATTAAATTAATTTTGAGTATTTGCTATTTAATATCAATAATATCAATATCATAAAAGTAATTCTAATGCTGATAATTGCAAAATAATTTAAAAAGATATTTTTAATTAAAAAATTTGTGATTTTATTATTTTATTATAGTATATCATTAAATTAATTTTAAGTATTTGCTATTTAATATTAATAATATTAATATTATAAAAGTAAAAGTAATTCTGATAAGTATAATTTTAGTCTGATTAATTTATTCTTTTATAAAATATGATATTTTTTTTAAATTTATAATGACATAAAAGTAAAAATAATTTTAATAAATATAATGGTCTGATTACTTCATTTCTTATAAAATATAATTTTTTTTATTTTATAATAAAGTTTAATAAAATATATAAAATAATTAAATTTAAATAAATTAATTTAAAATAATAATAAAAATAAGTTTATTGTCTAATATTTTAAAATAAAATTATAATAAATTTTCTTTTATCTTTATTGATTCTCAAATTTATAAATAACATAAAAGTAAAAGTAATTTTATAAATATAACTTTTGGTCTAATTATTTATTTTTTGTAAAATATAATTTTTTATATTTTATAATAAAGTTTAATAAAATACATAAAATAATTAAATTTAGATAAATTAATTTAAAATAATAATAAAAATAAATTTATTATCTAATATTTTACAATAAAATTGTAATAATATTTTAAATTTTCTTTAACTTTATTGATTCTCCTAACTTAAAAATTTTAAACACTATTTTTAAATAAATTATATAATTTATATTTAATAAATAAAAATAAAATCAATTTTTTAATAATATATATATATATATATATATATATATATATATATATATATATATATATATATATATATATATATATATATATATATATATATATATATATATATATATATATATATATATATATAGATATATATATAATAAAAAATAATTAGAATAAAAAGTCAAGTTAAAAATTCAAAAACTACTTTAAATAACTTTTAAAAAAAACTAAAAATTATAAATTAAAAGTTAAAAAACACTTAATAAACATAACTTTTTAATTAAAATAAATTGAAAAATTAAGTTAAAATTTTTTTTAAGTCTTATCAAACAGACTCTTAATATATGTTCGTGAAAAGAAGGAAAAACAATAATTATCAATATATAAATTATAATTTTTTTTGACACATTATATATAAATTATACATTTAAAACTATATAATATGAGCTTGAAGGACAAAAGGAAAAATATGAAAAAATGTATGTCAAATTTGTAGAAAAAATAGCTTGAATTAATCATGTAAGAGGAAAATACCATTCCTCTTACTATAAATTTATCTTCTTTCTAAACAAAACAACAAATAGCATATAGCATATATAAATTATACATTTAAAACTATATAATATGAACTTGAAGGGCAAAAGGAAAAATATGAAAAAATGTATGTCAAATCTATAGAAAAAATAGTATTAATTGTAAGATCAATAATCGGTAAAATATGAAGTTGAATGATTAGAGAGAAAAAGGAAAAAAAATATGAGTTGTGATGCTGCTATAGATATTTGATCGTCATTCTTTGTTTTCTGCCAAACAACCAACATATAAATTTAAAAAGAATGTTGGAAATAATATTTTATTTCCATTAATGTTGTTCCAAAATGACAAAGTGGGTGTTATATTTAATTGACAATAAATGCTTAGCCCCACATTGGAAGATGAGTAAAATTAAATAGCATTTATAAGGCACTTGGAACAATATAATTTCCAAAAGAGTCAAAGAGGATAAAGTGCCACATAGTCATATGTGGTGATGCCAAAACTTATGTCACTTGTCTCATACAAAACACCCCTCGCCGGTGTCGCCACCGGCGACACCGGATCCGGGGGCGTGGGCGTAGAGGCGCTAGTGGCGGCTTGTAGACGGCCGCCTTGGCCGGTATACTGCGAATTTATTTTTATTTATAGCTCCAGATTTCATTCGTTGCCTAGAGTTTGAATTTTGAATTTGAATTCGAAATACATGACACTTCATGAATTGGTGCATATCATTTTATTTGAACCATTGCAATACATGACACTTCATGAATTGGTGCATATCATTTTATTTGAACCATTGCAAATGTTCATTAGAGAGTGTGTTTATGAAGAATTGCAAACTTCTGAAAAGACACATGCATGGCTATAAATATATGATTGATAATTCGAAATCAAACACTCCAAAATTCTGAAATCCTCTTCCATATAATTCCAACGTTTTCCTTGCATTCGAAACTTCACCAGTCTTGTGCAGTTTCGAGAAAAAGGCTGACTTATCCTGGGTATTCAGGTCGTTCCAACTCTAAGACAATTTGAGAGTGTGCTTGAAATACTTTTAAGGAAAGTGATTTCGTTCACGATTCAGTCTGGATCCATTCGACATAGAAGGATTATCTAACAATCTTAAAAGTATTTGCATCATGGATTCCGACGCTGCTGTTTCAAGTATCAAGGTTATGAATCAGGATCTTGTCAAATTGGATCGCTTCGATGGAAACAACTTTACCAGATGGCAAGACAAGATGACATTCCTGTTTACCGCACTAAAGGTTCACTACGTCTTGGATCCTGATCTGACACCAATTCCAGAACCAACTGAAGATGATTCTGACGAACTCAAAAAGAAGCGCATGCTGCGAAGGGAGGACGAATTGCTATGTCGTGGACATATTCTGAACACACTGTCTGACCGCCTATACGACCTGTACACGGACAATCCGTCCGCTAGAGACATATGGAATTCACTGGAGTTTAAATTCAAAGCCGAAGAAGAAGGTACGAAAAAGTTCTTAATTTCTAAATACTTTGATTTTAAATTTATAGATTCCAAGCCCATACTTCCCCAAGTGCACGAATTGCAAGTCCTGGTAAACAAAATCAAAGCGGTGAAAATAGACATTCCTGAAACCTTTCAAGTTGGTGCAATCATTGCGAAGTTACCAAGTTCGTGGAAAGGTTATAAAAAGAAACTGTTGCACAGTTCTGATGACTTTTCCTTGGAGAAAATCCAGAAACATCTTCGAATCGAGGAGGAATCGAAGGAGAGGGAAAAATCAGAATCTGCGGGACTTTCCAAAGCCAATGCTGTGACCAGAAAGGAAAAGAAGAAACATGATGTCAAGAAAAGTCACATCGCACCAAAAAGGGAACATACCAAGTTCAAGAACTTTGGTGGTCCGAAGGGTCCGAAAAATGGATGCTTTGTATGTGGAAAACCTGGACATTATGCTCGAGATTGCAGGCATAATAAATCAAAAAAGGAGATCAATGCAGTGAATGCTAATGATGATATAATTGCTACTGTGAGCGAAATTATGGCAATCAAAGGCAAAGTCCAAGGCTGGTGGTATGATACATGTGCCACGGTTCATGTCTCATATGACAGGGCTGCATTCAAAACATATTCTGAGGCAAATGATGGACAAGAAGTACAAATGGGAAATGAAGTGCGATCCAAAGTTGTTGGAACCGGAACAGTCGAACTCAACTTCACTTCTGGAAAGAAAGTTACTCTTGTTAATGTGCTTCATGTCCCAGACATGAATAGGAATCTTGTTAGTGGGGACTTATTGGGAAAACCGGGTATTAAATCTTTGTATGAATCGGGCAAACTTATTTTGACCCGTAATGGTGTGTTTGTTGGAAAAGGATATTCCGCTGAAGGAATGATCAAACTATGTATTACTGATAACATGATTAATGAAATTTCTAATTCTGCTTACATGCTTGATTCAGTTACTTTATGGCACAATAGACTAGCACATATTGGTATTAGTTCAATGAAGAGACTAATTAAACTTGGCTTGATATCATGTAATATCAAAGATTTCAATAAATGTGAATTATGTGTTAAATCAAAAATGATTAAGAAATCTTTCAAAAGTGTTGAAAGAAATACAAATCTGCTTGATCTTGTGCATTCAGATTTGTGCGAATTTAATGGCATGTTGACCCGTGGGGGAAATAGATATTTCATTACATTTATTGATGATTGTTCTAGATACACTTATGTATATCTCTTAAAGCATAAAGATGAGGCTTTTAATGCCTTTAAGAGTTACAAAGCAGAAGTGGAAAATCAATTAAGTAGAAGTATAAAAGTCCTTAGGAGTGATAGGGGCGGTGAATACTTTTCTACTGAATTTGATGCATTTTATGAA